ATAGTAAACTCCATGTCCCTATCCGGTGGCAACCTAGGTAGATCTTCAGGGAAGACATCCGAAAACTCACAGACCACAGGAATAGAAGCAAGATCAAGAGAAGCTTCAACATAAGTAACAACTGCTAAGGCTGGATCTAAGGGCATAAGGAGAGACATCCAATTCTTGGAAGAAGGAAGCCATAACTCAACAACTCTCTGCTTAAGGTTCAAGACTACCCCATAAACTTGCAACCAGTTCATGCATAGAATTGCATCTATGCCTTGCCCGGGTAGCACCATGAACTGGAGGTGTTAAGTGTGAGTGGGTAGCACTAATCTAACTATGTCCATCCGAGTATTAACGCACAATTATGCACCCGGAGTACTGATTCTATAGGCAATAGGAATAGCCATAAGACATATATTATGCCTCTATGCAAACCCCATGCTCATGAATGAATGTGATGCACTAGAATCAAACAACACATATGCTGGGTGGGAATCAATGGTAAACATACCAGCCACCGTAGGTCATTCTACAAAATCTCCTTATCCTCAGTGAAGTTGACTTGTCTAGAGTGGCTTACGAGCATCTTCTTCTTGATAATCGTCCTCTTGACCAGACGGGAGTTGGCTGAAGGCTGGGAAGACTGCGTAGGCTGGTGACACTCCCAAGCATAGCGGCCCTCCTTGCCACACTTGAAACAAGCACCCGGCTTGTTGCCCTGTCCCTGACGAGGTGGAACTTGCTGTCCTTGAGGCTGCTGTTGTACCTGCAGAGTAGGTGCACGGTACTGAGTGGGAGGTGCCTGGTGAGTCTGCTAAGTCTGATGGGATGACTGTCCACCCAAAGAGTGATAGGACATCCTCCTAACAACCTACACCTTCTGAGCCTGTGGGTGACTAGAAGATCCAGTAATCACCCGCTTGCACTTCCACTCCATCTGAGAATCACGTTGAAGTCCCTCCATAGCAATGGCTGCATTCATCAAATCACCAAAAGTCTGATATCCCCTAGTGTACAGCTCCTTTTGCAAGATGCAAGAGAGGCCATTGTAGAAATGGTCCCTCTTCTTCTCATCAGTGTCTACATGGGTCCCAGCATACTATGCAAGACAGTTGAACTTGTTCACATAATCCATCACAGTTATACTCCCTTGCTTCAGATCTAGGAACTCAGTCAACTTTCGGTTCAGCAAACCAGCGGGAATATAGTACTCACGGAAAGCAGTGGTAAACTCCCACCAAGTCACATGGTGGTCCGTCGGCTGCATGGCATTAAAAGTATCCCACCAAGCACTGGCAGACCCCAGAAGTTGATGTGCGGCAAAGCGCACCTTCTGCTCTTCAGTCACAGTGAGCAACTGAAACTTCTACTCCAGAATACGAAGCCAATGCTCCGCATCTAGAGCCTCAGCAGTTGGCGTGAACGTGGGTGGGTGTGTCTTTAGGAAGTCCTGGTAGGAATAGGGCCCCTCGAGACCACGGGCACCACCCCTGTTCCCACCATTGCCACCAGGGCCTCCACGGGCGAAGCCACCAATAGCCTGGGTAAGCATCCCTAAGGCACGTGTTGACTCATGCCGAGCAGCCAGCATCTTCGCCATCATCTCCGCATGGGTCATCGGAGGTGGTGGTGGTGGTGGAGGCGGAGCCAGATGTGGGGCCTCGTGGCTGTCCCCATTAGTGTTGCCAATGTCCTGATCTGCCCCAGCGCTGGTACTCCCCCGACCAGATATCAGGTTCATCTATAAATAGATAAGAACCAACCATTAATGACAATCCTCTAGATTAGGAACAAGAGACTTAGAGAAATGATAAGACTTTTACTAATGCATTCTTTTAGGTTATCCTATCAATTCACTAATCCAAATTATACGTGTGGGGGAAGTTTAGTTTAAGCAAGATTCTCTTTTCATGAAGCATGCATCGGCCTACCCGTTCACTCAAGCCAGAATATAGCGGCATTCGCAAAAAAATTTGGCACATCGCACACTCACTTTCCGCTTGCTAAATGATTCTTACATAACTTAAGTTAGTGTACCTGTAGAAAATTGGTTAGATAAAACCAGTGCTGTTATCCTTGATAGACCATATTGCTAGGTCTTATATTTATTTACATAATTTATCGTATCCTATTTTTCGCAAAACTTTTGTTAGTCAGATTTTTATGTTTTGAAAAGAGTTATGAAACTCGTAATTTATTATTAGCTCTGATACCACCTATGGCAGAACCGCCCAAAATAGCATGCTTCCGGACGCGCTGTCTTCCACCAGACACTAAGCACCCCAAAAGTTGGCTACCTCGGACGGTTCCGTTGAGCACACCCCGAGGGAGAACTTGAACAATCCTCGTTTTTTACCCAGGATCCAATAATGAGAACGAGTTTACAATACTTAGTCTATTTCATACAACAAGAGTTCTTAGAAATACATTATTACAATACCAAGTTCAAAGTGTGGAATTTAAACAGCAGAATTGAAATAAACATCTAACGATAAGATACAAGGATCCGTCTGTGCCCACCAGAAGAGTCCTCCACACAACAACCACTCCTCAAGCTACACCTACAACAGGGGTAAATAAACCCTGACTACATAATGTACTCGCAAGACTTACTCGACTAGTAGGAATAATTTCCTAACTCCAAATGATATGATAAGCCTTATGGTTTGCTGAGTTTCCTTTTTGTTTGCGAAAAGCATTACTAGTAGCGAATCCTTATGTATGTGTTTTATTAGCAGTCATGATTAGTTCATTAGCTAACCATTCTATGTAAGCACATGTTCTACTTTTAAGCAAGAGTTGAGCAATCAGATCCATTCATTCCCTTTCATCTTCTAGTTCTTACTACGGTGCTAGATCATAGTCAAGCCGTACCGTATCACATGCCGATTCGCGAACTAATGTATCCCAGCTGGGTACCCCAAAACACACGCCCCATTTGTACCCCAGGCACAAACATGTGGCAGAACCGCCCGAAACACTACACCATGACACACATTTGCCTACACTTATGTGTTGGCAAAAGGCAGGTTTCGACGACATATTATGTGTTGGCAATTGTATATCGTTTTAATGTCTAATCATCTGTCGGCAATAAGACTATAAGACTATAAATTATCTGTCGGTGTTTCTCTGCTGGCAGAAAAAGTGTCGGCAAAAATTAGAAGACTTAGAAAGTGTCATCGTAGCCTGTACAGGGCAACTGTGCAAGTGTCGGCGAAGGAGTACCCATGTGTGGGCCGCCAGCAACAAAATCATGGGCCAAAGCAGGACGCCGAAAACTCTTCCACCCACTCCGGCTCCGCTTTTACCCAAAACTCTTCCCTCCCTACACCCGCCCCTTCTGGCAGGCGCTCCCCAACGTCGCCAGCCATGTGGCACCCCAATGCCCCTTGCCAAAGCTCCGCCACACACCGAGAGCTCCGTGTGGGCGCCACCATCTGGCGACACACTGGGCGCCACAGATGCCCCGCCCACCGCCGAAGCGCCACATCGACGAGTGTCGCTGTTAGCGCCACCACCGCCTTGACCCGCCCGCGAGCCGCGAAATCTTGTCGCCATCAGTAGTGGATCTCTCGTCGTGTGTGCATTCAAATCGTTACATCCCCATCTCATCCTCCACATCATTCCCTTCCCCTCATCCCCATTCCCCTTCTTGCTAGGGTTTGGGCGCAGGACCGCAGCCGCCGCTATACGCCTTCGTCGGGCCCTTCACCAGACCTCCTCTCCTCCCGCCGGCGGCCGGCCTCGGCCCCTCCCCTCCTTGCCCCGCGCCGCCCCGGATCCGCCGGCGGCCGGGCCCAGCCCCTCCCCTCCTTGCCCCGTGCCGCCCCGGATCCGCCCGCGCTCCCGGATCCGCCGCGTCTCTCCTCTCGCCAAGCGGCGGTCTCGGCCCCCCCTCCTTGCCCAGCCCGCCCGGATCCGCTACCTCCTCTCCTCCCGCCGGCGGCTGGCCCCTGCCCTCCTCTCCTCCGGACTCTCTGGGTCTCCCGACGTCGACTCATCCTCGGCTTCTCTCCAAGTCCTCAATCCATCCTCCGGCTGCCCCCTCCCCGCGGCGAAACCCTAGCCTGCTGCCTCGCCGCCGATGCACATTTAGGTATTTTACTGTGTTGTGGAAGATGCACATTTAGGTATTTTACTTTGTTGTGGAAGATCTCGAAGTAGGCTGTGATTGCTGGTTGTGCATATTCGGTTTCCATCCTTCCTGTAGGTCTGAAATAAATTTGGTCAACTGTTGCCAGCAAACCGAGATGTTAGTTTGTTATTAGTGAATAAGTACATCAGTCTGTAGGTGTTTGGTGCTGAGAGATCCCTCACTTTTTGGGTCTCCAGTTGGCAGCAATTTGGTGCTTGCTGATCAGATGTGTAGGTGGTTTAGTGGTAGCTTAAACCCTGTCCAAGACTGCTTAGAATAATATGAGTTGAGTTCTGGTAATTAGATGGTGCATTGTTCAAGGATTCTAGATCTTGTTGATCAAAGCAGTCTAATTGCAAACTAGATGATGAAGGGTGTGGAATACTACTAGTGTTAATTTGATGATCTGTTGTTTACAAACTATAGCTTTGTCGTGTGCAATCTGATTGATGAAACAAACTAATGCACATGTGATGAGTAGTTAGTTTACAACCACCGGAGCCGATATCATGGATAACATGTTATTATTGTTACATTGTCTCATATATTGGACTGGCTTTCTACATACCCTTTTGTTATCTTTCTTCTGAGTATCAACTTTCAATGATATGGATAATGTGGTTAAGCTTGTTGTTACCTCCTTTAGCAATGCATTTATTGACATCATTTCAATATAGCACTGGATGTTTTTTTTGGGGGGGGGGATGAAGGTTTGTACTGAATAAGCAAACCTTTGCATCATTTTGCATTGATATAGCGACATGGTTACTTGTACCTTTGGTTGTGTTACATAGATGTAAATGGATGTTTCCTATGCTATTGTGTCTGTCATGGGACCCTTACAACTCTATCTCTTTCTTCTGGTAAGGTCAGCATGGTGAGGGTCAGTGTGCTCAATGATGCGCTCAAGTCCATGTACAATGCTGAGAAGAGGGGGAAAAGGCAGGTCATGATCAGGCCGTCATCCAAGGTGATCATCAAGTTCTTGACAGTCATGCAGCGTCATGGTTAGTTCTCAAATCTTATGCCCCATTTCAATTGCTCCGTTCTGAGGACATGTCCCTGATTAGTGTTACATTATGTAGGCTACATTGGTGAGTTCGAATATGTGGATGACCACCGTGCTGGGAAGATTGTGGTGGAACTGAATGGAAGACTAAAGAAATGTGGTGTTATTAGCCCTCGCTTTGATGTTGGCGTAAAGGAGATCGAAGAATGGACTGCGAGGCTGCTCCCATCTCGTCAGGTTAGTCCAGTCCGTTGTATATAACACTTGTAGCATTATTTTCCTTTTACAAACCCATTTTAATCTTTTTGGCAGGTAGCATGAAGGATAAAGCAGTTTGTGATGCATAATCCCATATGCAATCGTGCTTGCAGCACAGGATATTGCCAGAGATGAAAGGTACTAAGCTGTCTCCACTGGACTGAGCTGGAACTTTTGTCTTCTTCCGTTTGTAAGTGCTTGGCTGCTCCTCGCCATGATCATGAATGGGGTTTTTGGAGCCTTGCTTTGCTGGGTGAGCTTGGATTTCTGATGCTTTTTGCGGAGGTGAGTGATATGTGAAGGGTGTTAGTAGGTCCTGTGCCATGATCCTGCAGTTCCTCATACCAATTAGCAGCACTTAGACAGCTGTGCTATTAAGTTTTGGGCTTCATTTCACTCTACTTTGAGGCCCTATTTGGCACAGCTTGTGATTTTACAAAATATAGTTTTTTGGAATTTTTTTTGTCAAAAGCAATTTCGTCTTATTCAGTTCATTCTTGGTTTCTGTTTATTGGTAAGCTGCTACAAATCCTGCCACTTGGCATAGCTTCTCCTTAGTCTGTGAAAAAGCTGAGGGTCAAACTGTCCCAACTGCCAAACAGGGCGATGTCTATTATCTGCTTAATCTTTATTTACCTTTCTTAATGCTTACTATTCAGATGGATTATCTGTCTAAGGTTTTTGGTTTGTCTATCTTGCTCTTAAGAGAAATATACTTTGTTTGTCATCAGGGGTATACTGGCTGCAATTGACACCTTTTCTGATCATGCAATAGTTGGGGTGAATACATCTAGAGACGTTTCTTTAATCCTTTTTCACCTCGTAGCTATAAAAACGAGCAACTGTACTTCCTTGTCTTAATAGAATTTCTCCTATTACTATGTCTTTGACAGTTTGTCGGGGGTGCATTATGGAGAAAATAAATGATGAGGAGGTTGACTGTTGCCCAGTATGCGACATTGATCTTGGCTGCGATCCTGAACAGAAACTCAGGTGAATCAGTTGTTCAAACTTTTGAGTTTCTTCTGTAAAACATAGTTTCAACTTTCTCCTTACCCTGTTCTGGCAATGCCTTCTGCGTTCAATTTTTTTGTACAAGTGCAACCATGAAGATGAAGCATTAGTATGATGTGAAGTCCTATACATCATGCTATTGCTAATGAGTAATAAAACCATGTATCTTGAAAACTTCTCTAACAAACTCGGCCAGTAATGGCGCCAAGATCAAGGGATGGTCAAAGTGCAGAGAAAGGATTACAGGGATTATCCTAATGGATAAAACCCATATGTAGTGCTATTTGCCTAGGATATCTGCAATTCAGAGTTTCAGACAAACAATCTCTGTCATAAATATAGCTTGGGTTTTAGGTTAAACGCTTAAAGTACTTGGAGTATAAACATTCACTTTCCTTCTACACTGTCGCATATTCACATATAGCATTTATTGAAGCAGCCTTTAGTAAGTGTCCTATTAATAGTTTGGCTATGACATGATCTATTGTTGACATATCATATCTGATTGAAAATCATTTCTTATGATTATCACTTTAGGGAGGACATAAGCTTGTAATACACCTTTATGGGTCATGTTTTTTAATTTGACAAAGTTGGAGAAACCAGCCTCTCCTGTGCTCACTGCCTACGTTTTGTACTGTGGTTCTTTTCTGAATACTTTTTTGCCTCAAGTACCCAGTTTTTTTATTATGTAAACAGAAGTTTGGGCCATAGTGTTGCAGCTTCTTATTTATTTCTAGTGCATCGACTGATCAACTATGAATTGATGCTACCTAACTGTGATCGTTTCCTTGTTTGAAGGCCTGACCACAACCTTGAAGATATCAGGAATAAGGTATTTCCAATTAAAAAGATAAATGTTGATGCTCCAAAGGCTGTAACAACATTGCCAGCAAAGAGAAAACAGAGGTCCCTTTCTTCCTTGGTGGTTGATACTCCAAGCGTAGTAAAGCGGACTGGTTTGACTGGAAAGAGAACCAAAGCTAAAAGGAGGGCAGCAGCTTCTCGTGCAACTTCTCCCGTTAATAATGGAACCATGAAATTACCAACTAAATCTGAAAATCGAGATCAGAAGACTGAGAAAAGCTCTGCATCACAATCTACCATTGAAAGATAAAACAACAGAGGATGATTCCTAGGTAGACTAATCTATATCTTGGACCTATATGGCTCTATGTACTATGATTATCACTTGACCTGCTATATATATATATATCAAGTTGGTGTATGTATGGAAGATCTAATGCATTATTTATACAAAAATCAAGTGAATTTGTTCAATGTGATGCCTTCTATATGAGCAAAAGTGGATTTGTCAAATTATTTTAATTGTAATTATATCTATGCAGTTTTGCCGACAATTTTTTTTGGGCAGGGTATGGTTTGTAAAATATCTTGGAAATGGTTTGGCCAACATACAAACTGTCGGGAAAGGTCTTAACTGTCGGCGTAGGTCTTAACTGTCGGCAAAGGGTTAACTGTCGGCAAAGGTTTCAACTGTCGGCGTAGGTAGACCGTTTGCCTACACATAAAGTGTCGGGGATTCTGTTAACTGTCGGCAAAAGTTTCGCCGACGGCTTCTAGCGCGACTGTTTCTAAACAGTCGGCAAAACTTTTCGCGGGAGGTTATCTGTCGGTAAAGGTGCTCTTTGCCTACAATAGAAAGTGTCGGCAAAAGTATGTTGTGTTATAGTGAAATAATGCACTCCCGGAGGCGCTTGTCTTCCACTAGACACTAAGCACCCCGAGAGCGAGCTACATCGGGCGGATTCCGTCGAGCACACCTCAAGGGAGAGCCCGAATAATCCACATTTTTCCCTCAGGATCCAATAATGAGAACGAGTTTACATTACTTAGTCCATTTCATACATCCAGAGTTCTTAGAAATACATTATTACAGTACTAAATTTAGAGTGCGGAAATTAAACAGCGGAATGAAAATAAACATCTATCGAGAATATACAAGGATCCATCTGTGCCCACCAGAAGAATCCTTCACACAACGGCTACTCCTCAAGCTGCACCTGCAACATGGGTAAATAAACTCTGAGTACACAATGTACTCGCAAGACTTATCCGACTAGTGGGAATAATTTCCCGACTCCAAGGGATATGATAAGCTTTCTGGTTTGCTGTGTTTTCTTTTTGCGGAAAGCAATACTAATAGTGAATCCTTATGTATGATAATTATTAGTATTCATGATTAGTTCATTATCTAACCATTCTATGTAAGCACCTGTTCTACTTTCAAATAAGAGTTGAGCAAATAGTTCTATTTCACCACCTTTCATCTTCCAGTTCTTACTATGGTGCTAGACTATAAACAAGCCGTACCAGATCGCCCGGTAATTCATGAATCAATGTGCCCAGCTGGGTACCCTGAAACACACGCCCTGCTTATGCCCCAGGCACAAGCAGGACCAACCGACCACCCTCCTATCATGGGGTCTAAGTCCTCGTCCAAACTTGGACTCCAAGCCCCCGCTCCAGAGTCCTAGACTCAGTGCGGTGCTTAGACCTCCACCATCCCCGTCTCCAATTAGTCAGTCCGGAAAGAGCCAGAACTCACGACAAGAGAGCAACAAGCCTTCCCTGCGCCCATACACAAGTATGTGCTTAGGATAATAAGTCTGTGACTTGCCTAGAACCCAATGCAACGGTCGGTTCTTAACCGACACAGACAGAGAAACAGTGTAACCAAGCTATGCCCCGTTGGCCGCAGGACACAACCTCTTACACCCACCAATACCTAAACCATATCCCTACCTAGGCTCCATTTTCCTTTCACCATTTTCATCATGAGTGATAATAATAATCACCTATTGTGAGTAACGACAGGTTATTCACGCTATCGAAACCATAAGCATAGCAGCTACTCGACCTATGCTAGTAGGACTCATAGGTAGGTATATCTATGCATGTAGTTTCCATAAAATGCCTGTAACATAAATGCACATCACATATATATATCCAGTGATCATTCAAAATAAAGGTTATGCACCAGGGCTTGCCTTGGGTAGGCGGGGTGTCAACAAAGTCAGCAACTGATGGCTCCAAGGCTCCCTCCTGTACGAGAATCTCCTCCTCGTACTCCTCGATGATCTCCTCATACTCCTACTCACCCGTAAGCATGAACTCTACCAACTCGTTATCTACATGCATGAAATGATAATGCAACACTAAGTAATACGGCAACAGCAACTCTTAAAATAAGAATACATCTATCAAGCTACTAAGCTAGCTCTACCTCCGATAAAATATCTAGAAGTTGGAGACGATAAGCAACTAGGCCACACTGCTCCAAAACCTAGTAAGGGCCCACATATCGAGAGGCTAGCTTGCCATGGACATCAAACCGATGCACCCCCCTCATAGGAGACACCTTGAGGTACACATGATCCCCAACTACAAACTACAAAGGCCTTCTCTGCTTGTCCGCATAAGCTTTCTGTCAGCTCTGAGCTGCCTTCAAATGACTCTGAATAATGCTGACTTGCTCTCGAGCTTCTTTGATGAAATTAGGCCCAAAATATCCATGGTCTCCCACTTCAACCCAGTTAAGTGGTGTCCTACATTTCTTTTCATACAGAGCTTCAAAGGGTGCCATACGAATGCTTTCTTGATAGCTATTGTTGTAAGAAAACTCAGCTAAGTTCAAGCATTCGTCCCACTTCTCAGGAAAAGAAATAGCACAAGCTCTCAACATGTCCTCAAGTACCTAATTTACCCTTTCTGTTTGGCCATCAGTCTATGGATGATAGGCTGAACTTTGGAGGAGACTAGTACCAAGACACTCCTGGAGTTGCTCCCATAAGCGAGAGACAAAGACTGACCCTCTATCAGAGACAATAGTAAGAGGAATTCCATGCAGGGTCACAATCCGGTCAAAATACAACTTGGCACACTTTCTGGCTGAATATCTGGTATCCACTGGAAGAAAGTGAGCGGACTTGGTCAGGCGATCCACAATGACCCAAATAGAGTTATAGCCCTTGGATGTGCGGGGTAAACCCATAATGAAATCCATAGAAATATCTTCCCATTTCCAAACAGGAATGGGCAAGGGCTGCAAATATCCTAGGGTACGCATATGGTCTGCCTTAACTCTCCCACAAGTGTCGCACTCCGCGACGTACTTGGTGATATCCTGCTTCATATTGGACCACCAATACAAGTGGCGTAAATCATGGTACATCTTGTTACTACCAGGATGGATAGACAACTTGGAATGATGAGCTTCATCCAAAATCTTCCTTCTAATCTCCTCATTTGATGGAACCACCAATCTATTCTTGTACCTTACTACCCCTTGCTCATCAATACTAAACTGAGGACCACGCCCTTCGGCAATTAATTTCTTGATGTGAGGAATTTCTGAAGTGTCTTGCCTTTGCTCCATAATAATCTTCTCAAGTAAATATGAGACTAAGGCAATGTGAGCTAGCACCTAAGAATGGTTGAGAGACAAGGGTGTTTCTTCAACTTGATACGACTTCTGGCTCAAAGCATCAGCTACCACATTAGCTTTTCCAGGGTGGTAATGTACCTCTAAGTTATAATCCTTGATTAATTCCAACCATCTCCTTTGCCTCATATTTAACTAGGATTGAATGAAAATATATTTGAGACTCTTGTGATCCGTAAAAATGTGTACTTTATTTCCCAACAGATAATGCCTCTAATTTTTTAGAGCGTGGACCACAGCGGCCAGCTCTAAATCATGGGTGGGGTAATTCACCTCGTGCCTTTTCAGCTGTCGTGAAGCATAAGCTATCACACGCCCATCCTGCATAAGCACACATCCGAACCCCATCTTCGAGGCATCACAATATACATCAAAAGGTCTGTCAATATCTGGTTGGGCAAGAACAGGAGCAGTGGTAAGAAATTTCTTCAAAGCTTGGAAGGCTTCTTCACAAGCCGAGCTCCATACAAACTTAGCATCTTTCTTGAGTAGCTTGGTCATCGGCTGAGCTATTTTAGAGGAGTCAGGAATGAAGCGCCGATAGTTTCCAGCAAGGCCAAGGAACTGACGAATCTAGTGCACTGACTTGGGAGACTTCCAATTTAACACATCCTACACCTTGCTTGGATCTATAGAGATACCTTCAAGTGTCAGAACATGTCCCAAAAACTGCACTCGATCTAACCAAAACTCACACTTGCTGAATTTGGCATATAGCTTGTGTTCCCTTAATTGAGTCAGTACTATCCGAAGATGTTGGGCATGCTCTTTCTTGTTCTTGGAATATATCAAGATATCATTAATGAATACCACTACAAACTTGTCCAACTCAAGCATAAAGACTAAATTCATGAGATACATGAAGAATGCAGGAGCATTGGTGAGACCAAAAGACATGACTAGGTATTCATACAGCCCATACCTAGTAGAAAAAGTTGTCTTTGGTATTTCTTGTGGTCTCATCTTGATTTGATGATAGCCTGAACGGAGATCAATCTTCGAGAACACCTTGGCACTAGCTAGTTGATCGAACAAAGTATCAATACGAGGTAAAGGATACTTGTTCTTAATGGTTACCGCATTGAGAGGGCGGTAATCCACGCACATCCGAAGGGTGCCATCCTTCTTCTTCACAAAAATGGCTGGACAACCCTAGGGTGAAGAGCTATGACAGATGAATCCCTTTTCCAATAACTCCTCTAACTGCTTTTTGATTTTAGCCAATTCCTTTGGGGCCATGCGGTATGGGGGTCAGAAGATAGGAGCAGTGCCAGGTTCTAACTCAATGGAGAACTCTACATCTCTATCCGGTGAGAACCCAGGTAGATCTTAAAGAAAGATATCCGAGAACTCACATACCATAGGAATAGAAGCAAGATCAGGAGAAACTTTAGCATGGGCAGCAACAGGTAAGGCTAGATCTGAGGGCATAAGAAGAGACGTCATATCCTCAGAAGAAAAAAACCATAACTCAACAACTCTCTGCTTAAGATCCAAGACTACCCCATATACACGCAACCAGTTCATTCCCAGAATTGCATCAATGCCTTGCCTAAGCAGCACCATGAACTGGAGACAGTAAGTGTGAGTGGCTAACACTAATCCAACTGTGTCCATCCGAGTATTAATGCACAACTGCGCACCCGGAGTAC